AAGCATCAACGCCAGAAATCCAATTAACGGACGGAAAAGTTACTTTATTAGGCAATTTAGAAATAACACATACCGATGTTGCAGGTTCGCAACGAGTTTTAATAAATAACCCAGACACAGACGGATTTATTAGATTAAGTAATAATAATTTATCAAGATTAGACGCAACAAATAGCGGTGTTGATGTTTATGGCGACCTTTCCTATACAGGGTCATTAATTCCTTCATCAGATAAAAGATTAAAGAAAGACATAAAAGAACTAAATAGCAAAAAAGCGGTAGAATTAGTAAAATATATTAAGCCTAAAACATATCATTTTATTGATGACAGACTACAGGGTAAATCGTGCGTAGGATTTATTGCTAACGATTTCATGGAAACGAAGAAGACGCCCGATGAATGGCAGAATGTAGTAAAAGAAGGAACAGATGGTTATTTAAAATTTGATTATACAACAACTACACCTATTTTATGGAGTGCCTTACAAGCAACAATAAATGAAGTGGAAAAGTTGAAGAAGGAAATAAATAAATTGAAAGGTAAAGGCAAGGGAAAAAGCGAGAGCGATTAATAATATTAAAATATCATAATATTATTAATCTTTTTCTGTTAATGTTTTCAAGTAGTTTTGATGTTTTTTTGGTCTTTCGTGTCTTTTCTTGTTGGCATAAGTGTATATATCACCGCATTCACAATTACATTTTCTATTTCGTGTCTCACGTCTTTCCTCGATATTATCTTGGTAATATTTTCTGTTTTTTGCTATGATTTCCTCTCTGTCTTGTTGATACTTTTCCTTCTTCTCACCGCACAGTCTGTCTCGGTTTTCATAGTGCCAGTTATGCTTGTATTCCTTACGTTCTTCTTCAGTTTTAAAAGGTTGTATCTGATTTAACGATGCTTTTAGATTCTCAATAAAGCTTCTTTCATGTCGTTTCGCTTCCAGTGAGCTTTCGCATTGTTTTGTTTCTATTAATACCATATCCCAGTTTTTCCAACCACCATTCATTCTGATAAATTGATATACTGACAGATTGAAATTTGTGTCTTTTTCATTGCTACAAACTGATTTATGTTTATTCTTTCGCTTTGTAAAGTCAGTTGTATGTCCTACGTAGCAGTCAGTAATTTCCAAGTCTTTGCAAACAATTTTATAAAAGTGTGTATTGCTATAATCTATTGGTTTTCTCGGCATAATCCTATAATATCTTATAAAGTGTTATTTCTTTATATGTCTTCATCATCAATCACTAATTTAGCATCAAATCTTTCATAAAACATATCATTAACATTAGGTTTCATTAAATTAATAAACAAAAAGCTATATGGTTCTTCTGTTGCAATATTATAAAGTTCTAACAATAATTTCTTTGCTTCTGCCAGATTTTTAGCATCGGCTACGGTTGATTTTTTGATTAAAACAGCACTTAATTCTTCGACCATTGTTTCGATTTCTTTGTAGTTCCTCAATCTGAAAAAGAATAACTGACGACTATTGACACGAATAATTGGAGATAGTGCGTTGAATTTTTGCGTGCTTGTTATTATGTTGATACTGTTATGTCTTCCGCGAACATATAACTGATTCAATAATGGACTGTTGCGTGAAAAACTCTTTGAATCAGCAAAGTCATCAACGATAATTAATATTGAATGTAATTTATTATGGTTGTTCTTCTTTTGATATTCTATAATTTTATGTTGTCTGTTGATAACTTCTTCTAATTCCGACGGATTGTATTCGTCAAAGAAAACCTTTTCTTTTTCTAAATCCACCTTTAGTTCGTTTTGAATATATCTTTTAACAGGTAGCCAATTAGCGTCAACGCTAATTGAAGGGCTCCATACATATATTCTTGCGAAGACATCCTTATAAATGTCTAATATCATCGACTGTAATAAAATACCTTTACCGCTTCCAGAAGGCCCAGTTATTATTTGACTGAAAGGTAATCTCGGAGCTACTTCGTATTTTGATTGTTTGAACTCGTATTCTTTGACATTAACAGGTTTAACTATTGGAATGTTTGACATTATTAATAATACATAGAATATTTTATAAATTATTATATATGCGTGATTATGAAAGCTATATAGAGACTATAAATGAAATAGAGAAATTAGATGAAATAATAAAAATTCCAAGATACAGAATGTGTTGTCGTAGTTTGTTAGAGTTCTTGAAAGCCGTTTGTTATTATCTTAAGAATTTGAAAAAATCTAAATAATATTAATGGAAGAGAACAGCGGAGGGTTTCACGTTGATAAAAGTAGTGTTGATTGTAACTTTTGTAAGTGCGGTAAAAAGGCATTATATAAACAAACTAAAACAACAACCGACAAAGAAGGTAATGTTATTGTCAATCAGGTAGAAAACAGGAGCAGTTGGAAAGTTGGCAGAGGAACAACGCCCGACGGAAACGCCATTTTCAAAACAAACATGAAAGATAATGAAGATGTTGATACAGTAGATACAGGGTTCGGGTCAAGAAAACCAACACCCGAAGAAAGAATACAAATATTAGAAAAAGAAGTAGAGGAACTAAAGAAGAACTTGAAATTAAATAGTATGGATTAATATTAAAGGAATGTTTTTATTATATATCTACAGGGCATAATCGCCAGCTTTTGGAAGAAGGAGAAGAAAACCCCGATACAGTAGCCCCACTGTTTCACGTTGGACGGACACATGAAAGGGAAAGTAGTGTGACGCTCATCAGAGCCTCGTGAGCTTTACAGTGCTCGCGTCACGTTCAACAGCATCTCATAAGCAGTTGCTTAATTCGTTTGTTCCCCTTTTGTATCCCTATGGATTTTAATAATAATAAATGTTATTATTATTAATATGAATAATATAGTAGAATTTAAATTAACAAATGAACCAAACGAAGGTTATAATCAAGACATCGGATTTTGTAAATATTGTAGTTGTTATGTTCCCAAATCTTATTTTATAGGTTGTTATGGCAAAATATGCAAAACGTGCGTTAAATGTCGTGAAAAACATTTAACATATATGTTATATGGGAAAACTTCTAAACATTTACCAGAACAAAATCTCAATAGCGAAAGTCGCTGAAAAATGCGATTATTATGTTACGGGTATTGATTTAGATTGTTGGACGAGTTTAGGATGGGAACAAAGATTATTAAAATATGAACCCAAAACATTTAAATTTATTTGGGCACAGGTTGATTTAAGAAAACCAGAGAATGAAACGCAGATTAAGAAAATAATTGAACACTTGAAACCGAAAGGGTGGTGCATTCAACACGTAAAAGAACCTTTGAGCGATGCCGATATTGAGGAAATTATACGTATTTAAAGGGTAGAATACGTAATAACGTATATGACCGAGGGTAAGGTGAGCACGGACGCGGAGCACGTGAGACAAGTGTCGAACGTCGAGATTTATAACACTGTTATCGAAAACCATAATATGACTCAATTAAAAATTAATGAGATTTTAGGAATTGTTCAACGGTTAGTTAAGGATAAAGATAAGAAACCAATCACTTATGAAAAGAGCACAACAACAACACCAGTTGATAAAAGCGAGAAAAGCGATTGGAGCAAGAAAAGAAAAACTTACATGGAAAGACTGAATAAGTCCGAAATAAAAGTCCCAAAGGAACAAACTTTAGAATACTACGAGATTGTGTTTAACAAAGAGCAAGAAAAGTATGAGTTCAAAACACCCGCTAAAAGCGAAGAATGAGATGTGATTTAATATTATTTGATAATATTAAAACTCATCAAGGGTAAATATGATATGAAAAGTTATTTAATTTATAAATGGCGATTGTTTCTTCAAGTTCGCGAGCTTCGCGGTGCTCGCGAGGCTCTTGCCGAGCGTCGCCAAGGGCGGTTTTAAATACAAACCAATTATCTTTATCTTCGTTTTCAATGGGTATATATGTCCTTAAATACCATTCGGTATAATGCGAAACTCCGTTTAATATATCTTTTATTACCTTACCCCGTATATCTTTACAAACTTCATCATTTACAACATATTTAAATATTACTTTACACGAGTGGTCTCTATACAGTTTGGCATTATCAATTGTAAATATACATTCACCTAATGAGAATTTAGGATGGACATGTATAGGTTTAGGGTTTTTTACTTTAGCAGGAGGATTTATTAAAGGCTGTGTGTTTGTTTGTTGGGTTGATATATAACTTCCCATGATTAACGGTGTAACACAACATACCTTTAAACGTGGATTTATCATTACTCAAAACGTCTTAAAGGCATGTTTGTATTAATAAGTAGATTACAGATGTTTGAGACACCGTTTTGTCGTGTATTTAACTTCGTCAGTGAAAACTACTTAGTGTCTAAAGAGAGTAATGTTGTTGAAAAATGCGATATGTTTGATAAGTATTGTAAATGGTCAAATAAATTAGGGTATAAGTTACTATCAATAGAACAGTTTGAAAAAGAACTGTTAAAACAAAGCGATATTAAGCACACAACAGATAATATACACGAATATTACAGAGGTTTGATTTACGACCCAGAAAATTAATATTATAGCACATGTATAATATTAAATTTCATTAGAACCACCTTGCCCCATTATAAGGAATATTGTTATTCTTGGGTTTTGGGCTTGGGTTTACGGGTTAAAGAATAACGGGGATTTATGGGGGAAGGTGTTTTTTCTTGGGTTTAGGCTTGGGATTTTGGGAATATGGTTTTACGGGGATTTACGGCTTGGGATTTTGGGCTTGGGATTTTGGGCTAAAGAATAACGGGGATTTGGTTTCGGGATTTTTGGGCTTGATATTTGGCATATGGGTATAACGGGGTTTTGGCATATGGGTTTCGGGATTTTTGGGCTTGAGATTTGGGCTAAGGATTTTCGGGAATATGGTTTCGGGAATTTTGGGCTTGAGATTTGGGCGCCGAGTTGGCGAAATGGTTCCATAAATTATTGGGGCGAGGTGTCGCCTAGCTGGGGGGGGGGGGAGAGCCGTGCTTTCGCGGCAATGGGGGAAAACGTTTCGTTTTCTGCTGAGCGGCCGGTGGCGAGTTTCTCGCCCGGGGACGCCGAGGAAGGGACAAATGCCAGAAAAGCGGGGGCCACCCCTCTTAGGAGTGACGCACCCAAGCAGCAAACAATGGCCCCCTCGGCCGCCGGCCGCAAAGAGATCCGAACCTACCTCGATTGGGTAACCTCCCAACCGTACTGCCGGGAGGCCTTCGCGCAAGGAGCCCGTTTGGGCACGGAAGCTTTGGCTGCCGCGGGCGGATGGGAACCAGCCATTCGCCTCTTGCGCGAAGAGTGGGAGGCGAGGCCAGGGGCCGACAACTTTGTTGCCCTTAGAGGCTCAGCTCTCGAAGGGCTCGTCCCGGAGCCACTTCTCAAAGAGGCCAGGGAAAACGCGCAGTTCGGGATCGAAGCTTGTGTCACGGGCCTAGCCTACGAGAGGGTGCGCGCTCTCCCCCACCCGAGCCTCAAAGGATATATCGATGAGGCGGGGGAGCAGCTGTGGAAGGATTGCTCCAAGGGTCGCGTCCTTCTCGCAAAGGAATGCCCTCAGCTCGAAGGGGTGGTTTCCGCTCCATTGGCAAGGGTTCCCAAGCGGAACCCAGACAGAACCCTTAGCACAAAGGGGAGGCTTATATGGGACGCCAGGAGAGTAAATACTTACTGCTCCAAGGAGCAGCATCCGCCAGCATTGCAACCGAAGCACGCCGAACTGACCAGGCTGGTCCTATGGTGGACCTCGCGGCTACCAGGTCTTGGTGTCAAGCTCGCGAAGAAAGATACTTCGGAAGCCTTTAAGTGGGTTCCGATTACGCCGGCAGACTCGCGGTTTTTCGCTGCTGATTTGCCGGGGGCAGAGTTCGGCCTCGACTCCGATGTTGTCGCTCTGTATCGGGTGCTCACTTTTGGGCTTTTGGGTGGCGGGGATCCCCGGGCCACTACATGCTGTATGCTTCGGTGATCCGGGAGGCCTTCCACGACTCTCTTGCCCCTCCGGAGGCGAACTGGCACGACTCCGTGCCGTTTGCCACCCTCATCCTCATGGACGACGCCGTGCTAGTGGAACCTGAGGTGGGGCTTCGACCCTACCTCGCTTCCGAGACCTTGGAGACCCTCACGAGGACGGTGCTTGGGAACCAGGCCCTCAACGCTGACAAGGATTGGGAAGAGGGGGGATTCGACTACACCAAGATTGTATGGGGTCTTCAGTACAACACCATAGACCTCACGCGCAGTTTGCCGGCGCCCAAGCTGGAAAAAGCCGCACACCTATTGGCCCTGGAAGATTTCGATCGGGGCCGACGTATTGTGGCCTTACGCTTGGTACAGGAGCTTCGGGGAAACCAACAATTCTGGCTTTCGGCGATGCCCGTCCTCTCGGGACTTTTAAGCGCCACCAATGCGCTGCTGGGCCCGGCTACCCCTGTCGGGGACGCCGTCCCCCAAAGAGCCACCGCCGCGGAAAGGGAGCGGAACTGGGTTCGCTTTTGGGACGCCATCGAGGTGCAGCGCTATCTGGTTGGGGTGCGAGAAGATTGGGCAACCACCTTTACTCACCCTATGGTTTCGGCCTTGACCCTCCGCGAGCTCTTGGCTATGCCCCAGAATCGGGACAAAGTGGTTTGGGCCTCTGGAGACGCCACCCTCGACCGAGTGGCCGCTATCGATTGGACCGCGGGCCTTGCTTTCTCTCTGCCCGCCGACTCCTTCCGGGAGCCGCTGCTTTCTTTTGTGGCCGAAGCTACCGCCACTCCTCTGGCCTTCCAAGAAGGGGCTGAGGACCTCGCGTTCGAGCCCAGCCCAGGTGAAAAATTCATAGTTGCCGTGACTGAGCTTCTTGCGGTTGTCTCCCTTGCTGCTTGTAGGGGCCCCGCCTGGAGGGGGAAACTCATAGCTTACGCCGGGGATAACCAAACGGTGGGGGTTTGGCTGGACAAACGACACACCTATAGCCCCGTCCCCTCGTACCTCTTGCAGCTCCAAGCTTACCGTCCTCGAGTGTGTTTACGGGTTCCGGGTGTACTTCGCTTACATTAGGACCTACCACAACCTCACCGCCGATGCCCTTACCCGCGAAGATCCTCAGGCTGTTATGCAGGCTAAAGGGTTAGAAGGGGTTCCTGGGGTTGCCGAGTTCGTGTCGGGTCTCCTGGCTCGTGGGTGGCTCAAGCGCGCCTTCCTTTGGGGGGCACAGCACGACACGGGGCGGGACCACGCGCTCCGTGTGGCAGTTCACCGAGAAGGCACGCCTATGAGCGCGCCGGTTTCGGGTGGGACCCCTTCCCTCCTCGACCTCCGGGTCTTGGAGTGGGATGGAGTGATGTCGCGCTATGCTCGGGCTTTCGCCTCATCTGGAGCGGAGGTCTGGCAACCGCGACGGACGCTACAACACTACGGCACTCAATGGACCGGGGAGGAGGTCGACCTTGTGCTTTGCAGCCTGGTTCCACGGCAAGTGGACCCGGTTGGCCTAGCCCGTGGCGCGCTTCGCGCCCGGGCCAAGGCCGTCTGGGCGGACGCCTTAACCCAAAAGGCCGCCCTCGATCTGAAAGGGGCTCTCGAGTCCACCTCCAGCTGGCAGGTACAAGTGAGGCAAGTCTCGGGGAGAACCCTGGGAGAGCAAGTTTGGTGGAGGCGGTGGGTCCTTACCGCCGCCCGAGAACTCTTGGGGGACATGTCGTGCGGGATAACCTCCGCCGATGATGAGCCAGTCACCCCCGCTCTGACGTACCCTGCCATCTGGGTGAAAGTCCCCCACCCTGACTCGTGGACGTATAGCGGCCTTAAGCTCAACTCCTGCCTTCCACACCTGGGGCCCACCACGCCGCCCGGCCGGAATGCGAGGAACGGGCGAAGAACGGCAGCTCCTCTGGGCCCCCGATCGCCCCCTCCCCGCCCTCCACACGGGAAGTTGGGTCGCAGAAGGGGAAGCGTGAAGCGACTCCTTTTGTGGCTATACTGCAGGAAGGGCCGAAGGGCCCGGGGGTGAGGCCTCTTTCCGCCTCAGAAGCTTTTGTGTTGCTCGGCGGCGGTGACGTCGACCCTTCCCTAAGTTGGGACGAGTTAGCTCGCCGAGCCCTTGCCGAGCCTCCCCAGACTTTGGTAGCCGCGGCAGCACGCTGGGCGGTGCAGCTTATCCAGTCTAAGGGCCCTCCCGCCGAGCGAGCAGGCGTTTGCGACCTTCCTTCGGAAGAGAGCACCCGCGAAGCGATGCGGGGTTGGGTTTTGGATCGGAGAGCGCGGTGCGTTCCGCGCCCGGTCACTCTCAGGGCGATCTCGCCTCAGAAGTTGAGCAGGCCATGCTTCTGTGGCCGGGCCACCGTCAGAGTCGGGGAGCGGAGGACCGCCGGGCAGGCGGGCCATCCGGGAAGAAAGGCCAGAAGTCCAAGAAGGGCAAGTCTCCCAAGGACCGGGAAGTAGAGCTTAGTAAAGCCATGTCCCAGCTCTTGCGCCACGCGGCGGGAACTGGGGACTGCCCGATCACGGAAGATGGCTGGGTTCGGGCGGCAGACGCCCTTCACTTCCCTCGGATCGCCAACTTAGGGGTCACCATGGACGAACTCCGAGCCGCGGTGAGGAACAACTCCAAAGCCAGGATAACCTGGGCGGAGGATTCCGGGGACGGGGCTGGCCACTCGATCTCCGGAGTAACGGGCCGGGCTGGCTGGTCCCGCCGGAATGCGTCCCGAACCCTCTGGTCCACGGGTCGTACCGGCGCCACACGGAAAGCATCCGGGAGTGGGGCCTGATCCGGTACCGACGTGACACCCACCTCCAGAACCCTCAGAAGCATCAGAGGAGGTGGCGTGCAGACCTGGAAACGAAGGTCGTAATAGACACCAAGGCCGCCACAAGACAGGGCTGCCAGTTCCGGGAGACGGGGAACGGAATATACCTGTGCCACCAGAACATCCCCCCTCGTGCATCCGCCTCATCGAAAAGTGGGACGACTTGGCAGGAGCGCCAGGGATTTGGGCCCCCAAGCCTGAGCCGAGCCTCACCGAAGCTGTGGCGGAGGAAGCGCCTCCTGGAAGCGCTCTGTCGGTGGACGTGGACACCCAGGAGGTGGTCCCCCTCACCCAGGGCGAGGCCGAAAAGGCTATTGAAGAGGAGGCGGCAGAGGCTGCCTCTGACCTAGACTGGTCCGCCGACGAGTCGGACTACGAGATCACTCAGGCCGAACCGGGAGAACTCACTGCGCCCCGCCATCGGCCCAGAGGGCCATGTTAGGCGAAGCTCTTTACCCCAGGGTCGCGAGCATTCAGCCGGCGGAAGCCAGGAAGGTCACCGGAATGATCCTGGAGCTCGAGAGTCCAGAGGTCCTTGAGCTTCTAGGGTCCGAGGACCGTCTCAGGGCTAAGGTGCTGGAGGCTGAGGACGTTCTTCGGGAGGCCTGTGGCGAGCTCCTCGCCCGGGCCCGCCCCGAGCGAGGCTAGGGGATCCGACGACGCGCCCCCTGTTGCGTCTTCTGCGGAGCCCGAAGAGCCCAAAGAAGGGACGGGCTCAGCTAAGCGCCGCAGGGTAGTGTTCGGAAGCGCTAACATCCTTCTGATGGCGTCCATCGCCGAAGCGGACCAAGCTAACTGGCGGACCCTTTCCACCCGCCTGGCCGAAGCTCAGGGCACCAGCTTTGATAAAGCAGAGCTTGTGGAGAGACTCGGTCAGTTGGCGGAGGCGAGAAGGGAGAGCAAGCGCCGCTTGGACCAAACGGCGCAGGATGAGAGGAAGCGGCTTTCTCAGATCTCCACCGAACAGGAAGAGTATTTGGCAAAGCTCTCACCGGCCCTGCGCCAGTTGGAAGAACAGAACCCAGTCGGCCCGAGGCAAGGAGTGCCGCTACTGACAACAAACAGGCTGACAGCGGACATAGAGGCGGGAACCCCTGTGTGGGTAGCCCGGCGACGCCAGAGGGCGCGGGAAAGGGCAGCCGCTCACCAAGCGGCGCAGGCCGCGGGGCCGCCCCCCCTGAACTCAGCAGGATCTGAGCAGGTCAGGTCGATCCGTCGAGGGCTGGAGCGACTTTGGATGACTCTCTCGAAGAATCTGCCAGGAGGGAGCTCCGAGAGTTCCGACGCCACCTGCTGCAAGAGGGCTCGGCGCCACAGTCTCTGCGAAGGCAACCTGATTCAAAGGCGAGGAAGAAACGGCGACGGGAGGCACGGCGGAACAAAGCCAGGAGCAGCCCTGGGGCCTCCACGGCACTAGTCGCGACCGTTGCCGCCTCCGCGCCCTCGGGTGCCTCAGCTCTCAAGGTGGGAACCGTTGGGCTCGAACCCTTTGTCGGGCTGGCTACGCTGATCGCCTTGGTCGTCCTTTTGGGGCTCCTTGGGCACGCCGTGGCGCGTTTCGCGCCCGGCCGCTCATTCTCAAAATCGGACCAAGCCAAGCTGGTTTTGCTTTTGATGTTCTCTCTCTTCACCGTTGCGGAGAGCCAACCACCCCCCGGGGCGGAGGGCTCGGGACGATACCTTTTGGAACTGATGGCATGCTTGGTGCTGCTCGTCGGCATGGTTCTGGGGTGTACCGTCAGCAAGCTCTCAAACAGATCCGGACCCACGCGCGATTCAGCGGTCCAAACGATCGCCACATACCTGCCCGCGGAAGGGGGAATCAAAGTCACCCCTAGTGGGGAAAGATTCCACCTCGAACACTGCGGGCATGTGCGCAATCGCAGGGGGAGGATCCTACACCCTTGCCTCGACTGTGCTCCCCTGGAAGCGCAAACGGGAACGCATGAGCCGGTCACGCGTGCTCCCCGGGGGCAGAGGAGGGATGAAGCTAAAAGGGACAACAATCACCCATACGCACAGCCCTCTTCTGTCCTTCCTCCTTTTGGTAGCCAGGCGTTCCTTGCTTTGGCCGGTCTCGTCCTTCTCCTTCTTGGGATGTCCTTATTCCTTCAGGGCTGCACTTGGAACCCGGCAGGGTTCTTAACGGCAGGAGGAGGGGCCGTGGCGAGGTTCTCGCCCGGCTTCCCTCGGGAGGCTGTCGGACCGAGTGGCCTCCGGCGTGTGGGGGTCCAGTTCGATCTTTCACAGGTCGAGGATAGCGGAGGAGAGGCTCGGACTGAAGACAAGAGGCCCACCAGGCCCAGGAAGAAAAGCAGTGACCCGCCACCTGGGGTCACCGTTCCGTTCCTGGGAGGGCCCAAGAAAACCTTGCAACTTATGCCGAAGGGGGCCACCCACAAGTTCGCGATTGTGCAAGGGCGTGATGAGTGGGCCGCTGAAACCCTCTCGCTTCTGCTAGCTCGGCTAGCGGACTCCACGAGGCGCACTTATGCGTCGCAGTGGCGCTGGTGGGAGCTTTTCTGCGGCCGAAGACAGCTGTCTCCGTGGAGACGGGTTGTGGGCTACGACCCGGCGGAAGAAGACTTGTTCGTGCAATTCGTGGTCCACTGCGGGGTGAACTTCGGCAAAGCTCCCGGGACAGTCAAGTCTCGCCTGGCTGCTGTGCGGGCCTACCACCTGACGGCTGGGTTGCCCGACCCGACGGCCAATATGCCCAAAGTCACCCTCGCCATAGCCGGTCTCAAGAAGCGGTATGGAACCAAGGAACGAAGGAGGCCGGTAACCCCGGCAATGCTCAAGTGGCTCCACGCCCACCTCTGGTCTGGAGCCCTCACGCATCAGGAGGCCTCTCTTCAGTGGGCATCTGTCTCCTTGGCCTTCTTTTTCCTCTTGAGAGCCTCGGAGTACCTCGACGCAGGTTATAAAAGGGGCATGAGGGGCGAAGACGTGAGGCTCTTTTGCAAGGGCATCCCTTGCAAATATGGGGAGATAGGACAGGCGGACGAGGTGTCTGTCACCATCCGCGGATCCAAGACAGACGTCTACAATCGCGGTGAGGTGAGAAATCACTACCGCACGGGGCTGGACATATGCCCCGTGCAAGCGGCGGTGGACCTCTTCCGAGCCTTCCCGCTCAGGTACCACGGGGCTGCTGAGGCCTCCGAATTCCTTTTCCGCGACTCCGAAGGCTCGCCGCTGCCAAGAGCGGTGATCACGGTTTTGCTTCGGAAGGCGGCGGCAGCGCTTGGGGAACCCGAAGGAACCTTGGGTACCCATAGCCTGCGTTTTGGCGGGGCATCAGCCCTGTGGTCCGCCTTTGGAAATGCCTCTATCGTTAAACGATATGGCAGATGGACCTCTGAGAGTTTCCAGACTTACCTCTGGGACTCCAGAGAGGACACCAGGGACGTCGCACGCCGTATGGCAGAGACGAGCCTGGCTCCTCGCTGACGGCACTCCAAGGTGCAGCGGCCCGCGGCGCGTTCCGCGCCCGGGCCTCGGCTGGTCACTACAGTACCTCCCATCCCCGTGGCTGCGTTTCGCGCCCGGGGCTCGAGCCGTGGCGCGTTCCGCGCCCGGCTCATTTGTGGGGGGGGAAGAGCCCAAATGGGCAAACAACCTTTCAGCCGCTGCGCGCAAAAAAGGAGTGTTCGTCTTCGCTTTTGCCTACAGCGCTGTTTTAATGAACTCGTTCGTACAGCTTGCGTGCGTAGGGTTCTGAACGGCCGCGCTGTAGGCTCAAGGGCAAGTAGGTAGGTTGTACAGTTGCCGTAGGCAGGCCCGCCCGCCCGCCCCCAGAGCCCAAATGGGCAAACAACCTTTCAGCCGCTGCACGCAAAAAAGGAGTGTTCGTCTTCGCTTTTGCCTACAGCGCTGTTTTAATGAACCCATGATTCACGAATACGACCTGTGCATTCTCATAATATGTTTGATCTATGCAGCATGTCTTGTCGTCAGCTATGCCATGAATGCGCTATGCCCTGAATGCTCGTACAGCAGTGCTTCTTGAAGCTAAAACTCCTCAAACAAGGACTTTGGCTGTAATGCCTTCCTGAGGACAAAAACCTTCCTGGATGAAAACAAGCCGAATCCTTACCTAGCAGGGATTTGGAGCTACAGGGATTGGGATCATCACTGCTACTGGAGGGCTCACCACTTCCTACAGTAAAGTTCTCACTCATGAACCGATGAAACGCTCTCCAATCACCCCTAACTAAACCCTCAACTACTGTGTCTATCTGTCCCTAATCCCATCCTTCAAGCGGTATTCGAAGCACATCATCCCCATACGCAATCGTTAGCGCTCCATTCTCCGCCCAATACGTCGGCCTAGGCGGCTCAGTCTTGGGAGGCCCTTCCAGTTCCCCATCAGAAGATTCACACGCTTGCACTTCACTAGAAATTCCGCTATCAGAACCCGACGCAGACACAACTGACGGCTCGGTTGTAGAGGCACCGTCTGTCTCATCACTTTCAATATCGGAATCTACAGCTTCAAGAATCTGTACCCACTGCGGCATAACATAGCCCGGATGGGCTGGAGCATTATGTGGCCTTTCATCAATCTCAGGGTCATCAGAGTCGTCAGTGACACCACCTTCTTTTAATTCTACGCCTTGAATATAAGCATCGGCAACGGAGTACCACTGAGGACCTTGAAATTGCAGGGTCCAACGCGTGCGTCGCATCATCTGGGTAACTGTGCAAACCAGGCTCGCACGAAGTTGCGCCGACACTTCCCTTAGAACCCGCCATTCAACTGCCCTTTGCCCGAGAAAGGTCGAAATTTCACTCCCTTGTAGAGATAGCAGCATGTCTAGATAGTGCCGTCGAACTAGACCCCCTATAAAAGGAAACTCCGGCTCCCCATCCTCGTCAAAGAGATCCTCCTAGCACGTCGGTTCCCTGCTTTCTACTAACGGTTGAACATGCCCAATGCTTCCAGCTGATCCATGTCCTTCGGGAGTCTCAGGCTCTCCCACAGATACAGATGGTTCGGTGGAGACATTCCCGGAACTCGAAACTAAAGCCGTTACAGGAACCCACTCAAAACGATCACCTACCTGCACAAATTGGAAGGCAACCCTATAGGCTACATCCCTAGACGGAACTACGCAACCCGTATCCCTGAATGACCCGAGAAACTGAAGAACCCCATTAGACCAGTACACTCGCGCAGAACCCCGTAAGCAGGCCCAGGCTGCGGCATCATTTCCCAAATACACCCAAAGTGCCCCGGCAACTTGATTACACAGCTCTTCAAAGGCTACACTCCCTTCCACAGCAGAACTTAATAGAGCATCGTCAGAGCCACTGCTCCCCCCAATCTGGACACTCGGCGTAGGCCCATCCTGACTGGAACTGCTCCCCCCAATCTGGACACTCGGCGTAGGCGCATCCTGACTGGAACTGCTCCCCCCAATCTGGAGATTCGTCGTAGGCGCAGGGGAATTAGGAACAACCGTATCAAGTCCCGTGAACCACGGAGGTGGTGGTCCGTAGCGTTGCATCATATTAGGGGGTTCAACTAGGTCACCCTTTACAAGCTGTTGTCTCAACTTAGCCCTCTGAACGAATGTTAGCCCTGTATAAAGCTCCCGTTCTATTAAAGCCCTTTGAGACTGTTCCCACTCCTCTTCATCGAACACATCCGAATCGGAGTCTACCTCACTAAAATCCCCAGGCTCGACAGCTAAACCAGAAGCACCCTGAACGTCCTGCTCGCAGCTCGAAGGGGGTTCAAAGACTGGGGTCTTCAGGTGTTGCTTCGGGCCCCTGTTGCACCAGACTCCGGTCATCTTCAGGCCCTGTGGACAAGGATACAGCAGCTCTAAAAACCCTAAACCAAATCCACAACAAAGCCACAATGGCCAACACAGCGCCTACGGCCCAAGCAAACAAGTCGTTTCCTCCAAACCTTGGTTCAAGAGGTTGTGCCTTAACCCTGAGCAACACCGCCAACAGCGCAAGTCCAGCTGGCCATTCAGCCTTCACAAGTGCACCGGATCCATTTATGGAAAGTCGACTAACAGCCCTGGCGGACACTTCATCCGCTTCTCTTAATTCAAACTTCAATCCTAAGAGCCCGAGCAAATACATGATTCGCGGCCGATTTAACGGTTTGGTCGCAAGGTCTGCGACCTGGCTTTCACCAGCGACCAAAAAATCCTGCCTTGATGCGCTCCCGGGCAGCGGCTGCCCTCATTCTTAAGTGTCCGGACCTCTAACCAAGGCTCCCCACCGCAAAAGCGCGGACAGAGGCTTGGTTGCCGCATAAAGCGGAAGTGACGGCGACCAGCTCAGATTCTGCTGATGACAAAGTTATGAATGGTTGTCTACTTGACTCCCAAACCAATAACATACCACACCAAAGGATAAAAATCGCTTGGCAAGATCGTCCTCCCTCTGGCGCGTGTGACGCGTCAGTGAAAAGCTCAAGCGTTGTCAAAGTTCGCGGAATCGGCGAGTCAAGCCACCAGCTTCCGCTGGGTTTTCTGTATTCAACCCAGAGATCAGCTGTTCCGTAAAGGTATTGTAGCACCTGGCGACCTTTCTGAAGTACAATGGAAGGAGCTTTTGTAGCATACTGACCAAGCTTACTGACAGCAAAGGCTATGTCGGGTCTGGTTTTCGTCGAGGCCCACAATAGTGCACCGGTCAACGCCTGTGCATCCCTTACTGTTTCCAGCTTCGCTTCATGCTCAATCTCCGGCTCCGACCATGAACTCATAGGCGACGAAGCACTACTGCAGATGTTACACCGTGAGAAAAGCTCCTTCAAGTAAGACCCCTGAGAAATCTTAAAACCACCCTCGATGGCCAGAATCTCGAGCCCACAGAAGGTAACCGCGGCTTCCTTCGTTACCCATTGCGGATCCGAGAGTTTCCACAACCTTTGTATCGCGGCGAATAATTCCTGCAGAAGCGGCGTGGGAGCAAAACCCAAAAGATCATCAACATATATTATCAAGACCCCGTGCCAACGATCGGCCTCCTCGGTTGAAGCATCCTTCCTTGCAATAAACCGAAGCGAGTCATCACTCACACCTTGCACCAGAATGTAGGTCACACCCTCCCACTCAAAGGTCAAATCACGCAATGATCTATCTCGGAATCGTGCCCAAGCCAAAGGCGCCTGCCTTAACCCATACAGCGCCTTGAGGACAAGCCACCGATGGCGTGCCGATAGCAACTGCATCTCGACAAGTAGCGATGGGGGTTTGACAATGATTACCTCCTTGGGGTCCAATTCATCGCAAAGCGGCGCATGCAAAAACGCTGTCCGAATATCTGCACTCAATCCCGACCAAGATTTCATCGCTGCGAATGCAATGGCGGTCCGGACGGTCAATCCTTGAACCCCACTCGCATATAAGCTCTCCGTATCATGAGCAGTCTGAGGGACGTAATTCCCGCACGCAACAGACCTAAAGCGGCGCTTCCCAACGCCAGCCTTCCTCGTCAAGACGGCCTTGCCTGGAACTTGAAGTATCTTCTTTCCTTCACGAACCGAGCCTTCAATGTACTCGGTGTCGATGCGCAAAACTGCTTTGTTGGTTTCCTCAAGCGATGTAACCTCTTCAACAGCCGACGGTACCCACAGCGATAGCTCTCGGCGAGCTTCAGCAATGCTAACAGTCCTCGTCTGTAAGAAGATCTCGGCCGCACTAGCCGGTTCACCACTACCCAAAGGCCAAAGGCACATCCCTGCTCAAAGCCTTGACAATAACACTACTGAAAGTAGTCGTCCCAAAGAAGACCCTCATACCAGTCCCTCTCGCGCTCAGCAACCCTCAGTACCCTAGCGCTGCCATAAATCAATGACGGCTCCCCCGAAGATGCACTCAACTCCTGAGCAGAAGCCTTACATTGGCGAGCTGCGGCTTCATGCTTGAATAGGATGCTATCAACAAAGTTTCCATCGTTAAGCTCGACGGGCAAATCAAGTTCCCAAAGAATGTCTTCCTCAGGGCAATCAAAACCGAAATCCGAGGCTTCGACAAGCGATACCGCTACCTCATTACACTTCGAAATCGTCGCGCGAGCAATTTGCTCGACATGCGAAACAGAAACACAATCCTGAATGGGGAAGCCTAGGCGATGAAGCTCTGCAGCATACTTCTCAACAACACCTTCGAAGCCCTTCGGGGTAAATGCTACAATGTGCTACAACTGCCCATCTATCCCGTCCAAACCACGGCTCCGTACAGTGCCATCTGGAACCTTCAAACATCAACGGAGAGTCATGGGCGTCCTCAACAAACCCGACCTTAACGGTGCCATCCGGAAGAGTCTTGGCTACTGGCCCCTTGCCATCCTCACTTTCAAGCCAGATACCTCCTCCCTGAAAATCTCCAAGGGTAACAACCCAAACCTTACAACCCGGGCTATTCCTCTGATCCCTATGTAGAGGTGCGGAGGTATTCTTAGCAAGATACAGACTGGTCCAAGGTCCCTGGAATCCCTGACGGAGAATAAACTGATTCACATACCTCGTCAGCTCAGGATAAGTCCTTGCGAACCTAGAGACCCCTTGAAAACCACCTTGACCTTGATTGTACAACCCTACGGCCACAGATCGACCCCCAGCTCGCATCAACCTCCGGTTTGGCCAGGGTAAACACTCAGCGTATTCCCGAAGAACCTCAAGATAGTCTAATGGTCCATATTGCTCGGCGCCAACCTTGTGCTGAAGCCACTCAGACCTTTCCTTGAAACCACTCTTTATCTTGCTACTCCCCGAGCACGGTTTAAGAAGCTTTACCTCGACCCCATTATCAAGTTCAGAATGCAAAGAATCCCCATCACAATCATAAGCTTCGAGTTCTTCAGATCCACAATCACGTACATAACCCTCGAAATCCTTGGTAATGTCTTCAACCTGTGAAAAAACCGAATCTTTAAATTCAATGCCGAAGTTATCCAGGAAGCACTCCCCCCCAGGTGTCAACCTGGAGCACAAAGGAGCATCAAACAGACGAAGCTCGCAAGCCGTGATCGACCGGACAGCAAACATCGGTTCCGACTTTCCAGTAAGGCGATACTTAGGCTTAGGCGGCGCACTAGGCAAACCCGAGTCCCGTACCGGATAGACCGAACTAGTCAGCAGAAAATTGAACTCATCCCCATCGGGTACTAAAGCAAGATGACCACCCGGGGTATCCGGCGCCCTGCCAACATACTTCGCCTCGAGTGCTCGAGGCCTCCAATGCTCACCATAACCCGACCGAAAACGTCTCCTTGCAAGGATTTTCAGCCCGAAAGGCAGCAAATTATCATGGCGAATACCCTGGGACTCAGCAACCCGACACCAAAGGCGATCAGAGGCATGTAAAACGGCCAACGGCCAGAAGCATTTGTCGATGCCAGATGCGAGCAGAAGCTTGCGGACCACAATCTTAATGTGCTGAATGGCTACCTCTGCTTTGTTGCCTGCTGGCGACTGGCCAGGCGTAAAGCTAGTGTGAATGCCCTTATCCCGCAACCAAGTCACCAAACCCAGAGACTTGAGCTCTTGTGCTCTATCGGAGTGATAGCGATGAACCGGGAAACCGTACCCCTCTAGTCTATTGATCAAAGCCTGAACCTTACCTAAGACTTCCCGTCCTTTCTTGGTTCGCAGTGGGGTTCCTAAAAACGAGGTCATCGTACCCGGGAGGGTCTCAGGACAGGGAACCCCAGGAGGATCGTCAGGCTCTTCTGGTTTCTTCCCGACGACTCGCCTTGTAACCTTACCGACTGCTACGGCTACTGAATCTTCCCGGGCCCCTTCATCTGAGAGCTCCCACTCCGGAAACAGATCCTCGGTAGCCCCAACCTGCACATCCTCAGGAACAACTGAAGGCTCATACTCCAGAGCGTCGGCGGGAACTCCACCTTCGGATTTTCCAGAAGGGGAACAAATCGGCACCACAAATGAATACGCACAAGCCAAGAAGTAGCGATAGCCGTCCCCTTTATCCCGGCCAGATGCAATGGGATCAAAGCCTTTCCCCCTTATGAAAGGACCAGCTATGTCAAATGATGCCGACCCCACGCCTGTCACGGCTTGCCGCCAATGAGATCTCTGTCTACTCTGGGAAGCCAGACACACTGGACACCCCTTCATAAAAGGTACATGGTCATTAGCAACGTGTCACCGAAAGGACTCTTCAGCAGTCAGCTTGGACAGGAAAATACGACGCGCTCGAACTTCTAGGTGCCCTTCCTGTTCTCGCTTCCAGCATTCCCACATCTTAAGCACGAGCATGCGCAACGTTGTTGAACACATAATCCCATTCTGACCATCAAGGCGTCTGCCTTCCGCTGCAGCGTGAACCACCAGATTCTCTTACCCCCTCCAAAGTCTCAAACATATACCAAGACGAGGTCACTACAGTTGATCTGGAGATTTCCCCAGACTTTCTCATATCGAAGGAAGCCTGAAAGAACCCATACTCCCTTTCCAGAACATCGACCCCAATAGCCCTCGCTAAGTCAAGAGCTTCTTCGCGGCATCCCAGGGTAAAGAAGATACTCGGCCTACACCCTTCCTGTATTTCCTGCCCACTAGAGCCTGAAGCCTTTGGTTCACGTTTGCCCTGAAGCCTTACAGCAGCCTGCTCCAACGCCCACGCAGCAAGTTCCTCTGGATCGGTCATCCCTTCAGGAATAGATTCAAGATCATCCTCCGAAGTTTCTTCTTCCTGGTTCCTCTCAGCCCTACCCTTATAATCAAGAGCAGCCTGGGAAACCAAAGTTATCAACAGGAATCGCAACTAAAGAACTACATTCTCATCAAACATCTTACACTCCTCACCACTAAGGTTTCCTGTATCCCAAGGAGAACCAGAACTTAGGCGAGATAACTTCCCGGAGGAATCTTCAATGGCAAGTTGTCCAATAATTCCATCGATCACTCCGCGCGAAGCCCAATCAAGGACCTGCTGAAACACTGGCTCCAGTAGGAGGTCACTACCGAACTTACGTCCTATCTCAACCGTCCTACCGAAACCCCTTAAGCGAGGCCCTTCGGCAAAGAATCTCAGCAGAACCTGGCCAGGACTTGCCTTCGCAACACTCCTGCGCAAACGCCTATTCCAAGGGGTACAACCAGGATCAAAGTTCTCTTCGCTGACAACTGGGACACTAAACTCACTAAGGTACTTCTCTGGCAGTCCTGGGCAAATGGCTCTAGCAACAGCCTGCTGATCAAGCTGATCAACGCAACCTTTCGCAGCAATCCTATCGCGCAGCCATCTACGAACCCCAAGCTCCTTTATCCCACTAAGATCCTCAAACAATACAAGACCCTTCTTCAATTTAATCCCTGAGCACTTCCTTTCATACTGTTCAAGAAGACGCAAACCGAGCTCTCTTGGGATCAAGGGACACCCCTTATGAACAGTAACATCGAGCGAACCATCCTTCGGATGCCTCACCTTGCACCCCTTCTTACCCCAGGTAACCTTGTAGCCTAACTCAATCAAATACCCGGCGGGAATAATTACTTGAGACGGTCCTTCTGTCAGCAACGTGCCGTAGGTATTGATGTGAAGCTGAGTGACTCCGGAAGCTAAATCGACAGTGATGGCCCTAGCGTCTCCAAGCTCTGTATCATCAACGACAGGCCTAAGGCCATTGGTAGCTCCGGAATCTATCAGTGCCCACTGCTGATCTGACGCGGACTGAATGACACTCTGCAGCCAAGCCTGATTAATTCCACACTCCTTCAAGGATGTAGGATCTCCAATCCGAATAGCCTTCAAAGAGACCCCCTTTAACAGTCTAGTGGCCTCGGCAACCAACTCATCCTTCAAGGAGGCACTCGCAGCAGATCCAACGGAAACACCAGCAGATCCTTGATCTGCAGATGCAGTGTCCTCTGACACGCCCTTCACCTGGGCACCTGACTTCGCCTTGGCCTTAGCCTTAGGTTAATCCCGGACTTAGCCCCAGGTGACCCATCAGAATCCTGAGATACTACCTGCCTATGCTCAGGAGGCACTAGCGGACAGTCGGGTCTATAGTGGTTAGCCTGACCACAAGCTAAGCACCTGCTCTGTTTCCTAGCAGTAGCCCGGTCATGCTTGAAAGAACACGAATCCCCAAACCTACAAATCGTGGCGTCTGAGAATTTGAAGCAGAGGGTCTCCCCAGCTCCACCCCCTATCCTTTCCACCCCCAGGTTTACCCTTTCCTTTCCCCTTGGGCTTGTCACCACCATCCCCAGCCTGAACCGCTGCAACAGAGGGTGCCGGAGGAGGAGGTGGTACAGGTGGGGCCTTACTAGGGGCAGGTTGAGGCTGATCCTTTCCAGTATTCACAGCTGAATTCCTAGGTCTCTTTTCAACTCCAGCCTCCGATACCAAAGACGCAGCTTCACATTCCGAGAGGATCAATCTTACAAGCTGGACAATTCCATCAACAGTCGGCAGATAGTCCAAATGCCTAAACGCGCTTATCCTAAAGTTGATCATGGGACTTTGCGAAAGCAGAGCACCTGTAGCATTGTCTATTCCCTTAATCAAGAGTGAAGGATCGGGAAGTGCAGCTTGCACCTCCTTGGCTCGCTGCAAGTTCTGAGTCCATCGTCTAAGACTGACTATTGCTTCCTTATGGGTTTTACTCACATCAGGGGAGACTAACTGACTAAGTAGGTGAGCGCGTTCACTTGCACCTCCAGGTTGGTACAAGCATAAAACTCTGAACAACACAGAGGCGCTTGTAAGCCACCTATTTGTAATCAAGTCCTCCTTTATTCCCTGAGGGATAGCAGCTAAGAGCAGAGATACCGCCCTAGATTCCACTCTCTGAAACCTGTATGCATCAAAGTCTGTAGCAACCCCACCCGGATCCAAAGCCAGCCGCCCCAGTGGGTCAGCGACTAACCACTGGTTGTAGTGACGCATAGCCGCACGCTCAACACTAGAGAACCATTCAGGAGCCCCAGGACTCAAACCCATGAAAATCTGCTTTACTTGAGCCCGCCACTTACCGCAGGTAACCGCTGATACCGAGAGATCAGCCTGCACAAGCTTAGGCAACGAATCCACGTACTTAGCAGGTTCCTCTGGACCATTAGCCCTACCAGCCTAAAGCCCTGCCTGACCTACACCACAACACGAGCCACCAACGGGATCGTACACCCCAGGCTGCAGTACTGGACCTGACACTCCAATACCCCTAACAGCTGGATCATGAACACCAGATTGATGAACTGGTCCCAAACTCCCATATCCCCTCCCGGGCAACGGCGGTGGTCTGATGACAGTACCTCCTGGAGATATCGGGTAACCATCCTTATCATAACCTGTCCTAGAACCCTGGGTACCTGACCTAGGAGTGTGATAACCGGAATCCTCTATCAAGCCCCCTTGACCCGCCAAGCAGCTAGCTCGAGAGCTAGGTATTCCATACCAGCCGTGGCTATGGGATGGTGTCTACTGTTGGCTGCAGGAAGCGCGGCAGGAAGCTACTGTCTATCAGAGGGTGCACGGCTACTTCCAGGACGATATCACCTGGAGAGCCCGGATGCCACCGCTACCTGCTCCAAGAGAAGAGGTCGAAGACGCAGTGCATCAGCCACCGGCGCCGCTAAGACCTCCCCCCGGGGAGCGGAATCGAAAGACGCTACAGCCCAGCACGATCAGTGCGGCTAGAGAGGAGCGACTGCTAGAGGTTTGGGCAAGGAAGCTCCGTGAAGAGCTGCTAGAGATACATGCCCCGGTTCTCGCTAAGCTGCACGGGAGTCTGGACCCCGCAAGGGCAGCTATGTTGCTTCCGGGGAAGACCCGGGCTTCGACCTTGAAGCGCTACCTGAGCTACTACAGTAGTAGCAATTCCTTCACAGGGACCCTGGAGATCACCAATCGCAAACTGTTGGATGGCTCTAAAGCCGCCAGTCTGCACAGATGCACTAGCTAACCGTCCACCAAAGCCTGGCGGAGGAGTAAGCGAGGCCGGTGAGCCTACAGGTCCGTCCTGCCCACTCGGAGCCATGTTGCGCCAGTTGGACTGCACCTCAACCTGATCCAGTCGCTGCCGAAGCATTCGATTCTCACTGATAGCTTGCAGTAACAGCTCTTCAACCCGGCTTGGTTGCGCATCCGATCCAGGAATCAATTCCCTGGGATCTTCCGGCAATGGCCTATCCCGAGATCCAACACTATGATCCTTCTCCGGAGAGCTCGTCGATAGCCCTGACCTAACAGTCCCAGCCATACCATCAAAGTTGACATCATCCTTACCAGAAGGCTTCATGGCCTCCTCGGCACTGCTAAGCTTCTGCTCAGCAGACATCTCTACTTGCTCTGCCGACTGCTCAATCCTGGCCACCCTTGGTGCACTCCGAGTAGTTGGAGACCCTGGATTTCCAGCAATAGAAGCCACTCTGACTCCACCACCAGTCAAGTCCAGTCGCCCCAGAATAATCAGGTTCATCCAACCGTCCAGAACGACTCGGATCCCCAAGTCCCCTTTCATCCAGATCAAGTCCCACTCGCATGGCGTCATCGTCTAGCGTAACGGGGCGTGATCTTTGCAGAGCTATTTCTGCCTGCGCACGTTCTGAATAAAAAGGATTGGTAGTTGGCCACGCCACCCCAGGATCCTGCCCACACCCTTGCTCAAGAGTTCTTGGAGAAGATTCCCCAGCACACGGCATAGACCCAACTTGGCCCAAGGCTGCAGAATCGGGTTCTAGAGGTCCTCCTACTTCAGGATCTCCAAAATTCAACGGACGTCTTTTACGAGTCAACGGGTCCATGGCTCAGCAACCCCACTGGTCACAAAGTCCACACTAGACTTAGCCAACGATAACCCAAAGCCCAATAAGAAACCGCTACCTACGGCTGATAACCTACGTAAAGATAACCACAATGTTATAGGACCCAGATGCCTAGCGGACACCTAAGACTTAAACCCGATCCACAAACGCGCCTTCGACTTTTTCTTGAACGAAAAACAGCCTCGGTATCCAAGAGCTTCCTTGCAGCAGGGGCCATGCTTCACGCACATGGGAGTTGGTTCACTGCTTAGGGTTTTCGACTCCCAATTCAGGGTTTGGGATTGGATGCACCCCTTTTGATTTAGGTCCAGCAGAGACGGCCTGTACTTGCAGAAACCTAAGGGTGATTTTTCTGTTTGTTTTGGCGCTGGGCGGGGTTTCGGGTTCGTCCTGGGTGATCGGCTTTTCACGGCTTGGGACTTGGGGCTTCAGGTTGGGTACGGGTTTGATTTCATTGTTAAGGGCTTTCGGCTTGCACTGTACGGCCTGTTGGGTTTGGGGGAGGGTCCTGGGCATCTACTTTTGTGTTGTGTTCGCTACTTAGGGTTAGTTGTCGGTGAGGGTTTGGGTTGTGAGGTTGCCTTTGCGGCTTGGTTCGGCCTTAGTGACTTAGTGCTTTCAGGGCCTCGGGACAAGGTTGACAGTTTCGGCTTTGGGTATTCGGCTTCCGGTTCGCCCCTTCAACATTAGGGTCTTGGGAGACGGCGACTTCGATGTCGGCCTTTTGATTCTGTATGCTCGCTCGCTTTCGGCTGACAGTAGGCCCACAGGCTTCTTACGATTTGTAGTTTGGGGCTTATTCGGCTTTTTGTGTTGGGTTCACATCTTCGGGGCTCGACTTTTCTCTGCTTAGCGCTTCTGATTCGAGGGCGTGCGCCGCATTTACTTACTTGTCTAGTTCATTCGTTCTTTACTGATATCGGGTGTTCGTCGTTACGTTGTTCGTCAGTCATGTTGTTATGTATTTGGTTTTGTCTTTACTTCGTTGATCCTGTCTTTGGTCATCCCGTTATTCCTTTGGCCTTTTTTCCTGACTGAGTTCGTTCGTTGTTCTTAGTCGTTTTGTCAACTCGGTAGTTCTTTATCTCTGTATTTCCCTATTTCTGTCTTGTTCTTTTAATATTGATGTCTTGGGCTCGATTTCGTTACTTCGTTCTGTCACCCAAGCACGATTTGTCGTGAGTTTGCGGCTCGTTTGCAGAGGCAGGTCTGAGGACCCGAGTCGATCAGTGTTTGGAGCCTAGCGGGCTGAAGTGATCTCCAAGAATTGAAATTAGACGAGTTCAACCTTAGCGACATGAATACAGTGTGAAGCAATACCAAGAATCCGAAACAAACACGTAGTATGAACCATAGTACAACATAATGAGACGAAAATGGCAGAGCCTGGACGGCAATACAAACGTTCAGAAAGCAGAAACCACGTACCCTGGATCGGCATGCAATTGGGAACGAAGTGCACCACTACCAAACTGTCACCAGCATCGCGGCGCCGTGATGCTCTGTCACATAGACGGGATAGTGGAACAGTGGAACATGTCAAGAGTTCGGACCCCAGTATGTTCCATCGAAAAGAGTTCTCGGGGGTCTTGGGTTGGTGCTGGGGTTTGTCATGTCAAACGTCAGGCGTCAAGGGACTTGGCAGGAGGGGGACTGTGCCCTGTCAACTCTTTGCTTTGCCGGGTGGTGAGCGTATGTAGATTCTGAAGCTAGGAGATTCTTGGGTTTGGCAGAAATGAGGTTGTTAGAATCTGTTAGAATCCATACGACCAGAAGGCCCGGAACGTTCACTCGTGTCTTTTCCATGTTGCCCGACAGCACTCTGGAGAAGTTAACTCCAGAGGGCCGAGGCTCCGTTTCTTGTCAAGTCATACTCGTACTTGGGGTCCTCTCGTTCCAGACTGCTGCTCCCAACCACACTTAGGCAAGACACGAGTGATGCCTCCTGGAGATAGACACACGGACAGATAGATAGGCAGATAGACAGATCGACCGATGGATAGAAAGACAGATAAAGGGATGGCTGGATAGATAGACAGGCATGCAGTTTCTAGGCAAACCATGTCGCAATATACGACTCAGCATGATGGTGTAGAAATTAGAAACCTGAGAGCGGAACTTTTCGCTTCCTGTGTCAGTGTCGCGTCGCAGAGCAGGATGCTGGCTTCGAGGGTGCCCAGGAAGAGCTGAGCCATGCGGAGCATGCGGAGCATGCGCAGCCGCTTTTCGACTTGCCGGGGCCCCGGGCCCCAAGCTTCCAAGCGGGTCACGTCACGGAACACGGTGAGGCTCATGGAGCAATGCATCGAGCAGTTGCCGAGCAGTCCTTCGCCTAGTCTTTCCGGAACTTCAAGCTCTCCTGTAATCCAGCACCAGGCCCTCAGCCGAGCGATGCCGACGCCGCGAGCCGAATATCCCGTGGTTTTGCGTCAGAACCGCATCCTCCGTCGTTCTCCTCTTCTACACTCGACTGTGGGTAGCACTGGCAAAGACTATCGACGTGGTTGCTGAAGGACGTGATTGAAGACAGCCCGCTGACGGCAGGCATGTTCGGATTGGAGGACAGCCTGCAGGAGCAAGCACAGAAAGAGAAGAACAGACGCGGTGGGAGGAGCAAGTTTCCTTGTTGCACTTTCACACCGCAAACGAGGCCGTGTGAAGATCTCGTCGAACTTGAAGAGAGGCTTTTATTAAGCCCTTGTCTTGCTTGTTAACAATGCCGCAGACAGAGAAGCCAAACTTCTTGGGTGCTTTGGATCTGCCTGGGACCAATGTGCAGCAAAGCAAAATTAAAATCCTGAGTGTGTGGAATTCCTGGGCGAGTTTCACAAGGCCGGCGTTGCCGTCACCGAAGCCTGGGCGTCGACCAAAAAAGGCCGTCTTTCTGATCATTTGGTGGGGTCCGTTACTTCCATGTAAGCTGGCGCCCGCTCCTTTTGCAGCACCTGGGCCGCAGTGACATCGCGCGGCTGCGGGGTGTGGCCGGGCTGCTCAGAGGCTTTCCTACTTGGCTCCCGAGTCGTTGGACTCCATCGGACACCCCGATTGCAGCCTCTGAGCATTTCACAAAGCGTGCCAAGCCTGAATCATGTCCGGTCCAGTGCAAGTGAAGGGTGAGTACGTGTCCTCGTCGTGGGCGTAGAGTAGCGGCAGAAGCAACAGTCGTGGCAGGCTAGAGTTTAGCTTATCTGAGCGAGGTGAACCACGTTGAAGGGCTTCCGGGGTTTGATTGATGATTGAGTTGCAAGATGTTGCAGCCTGGCTCCAAAACTGAAGCACGCCCGCCCACACAACTTATCTCCTTCGCATGACGCTCAGCCACAGAAGACTATCAATAACTTTAAGAGTGCCCACATTCCAGTTTGATACACGGGGAAAACCGTTCCAAAGTCGATGAAAGGGCCCACTAGCCCTACTCTCTGGGTGTTGTGTGCTCGCCACTTGCAGGACCCTGTGGATGCTCCAGAGGCCTGGTACGCCAGCCTTTGCGCACTCAGACTTTCGGAGTTCAGACGGTGCCCTTGTGGAAGGAGTTGCGGTGTGCAATCGACGGCAAGCTTATGGCAGTTGCTCTGCTTTGTCATCTCGTTAAGTCGAACCAAAGCAAGATCTGAAGTGCCTGCACCGTTCTTAATGAGCGGCTGCGAATCCAGGAGACATTGTCTGGCCTCCGAGGTTCCGCTAGTATCGCCTCACGGTCACGTCTTCGAGCACGAGACGCTGCTTTGTTGAATGGCGCCCTTGCGTGGTCACTCTCACTGGACCGCGGTCTTAGTGTATTGTAGGGCTTTGAAGTGCTTGGAGAGTTCCGCTTTTCCGCTACGACACAAATCTTCGCGCATTGTGGTCCTGAAGAGTTTTGGGCCTGATTTCAGGCTGCTGCAGTGGCTGAGCAGCTGCGGCCGGGCTCTGCAGCAGAGCAAAGCGACCGAAGAGCACGGCACGTCTTCTCGTTGCGAAATAAATAGGTAGCATCTGCCCAATCACCGGGAAGCCACTCAGAGAAGAGGAGCCCAGAATCGTCCTTGAAGCAACATGCTGTGCTTCCTTGATCACTCTGCAGGATTGCGAACCTGCTGTGGAAATTCAGCAAAAGGCTCACCTCCAGCCACCGTACCGCCTTCTGACGGCTGCAGTGGTAGGTCCTGGACTGGGTCAAAGCTGCCCGGTCTTCCTACAAGCGCCGTCTCGAGGCCGCAGCTGTCGCTCCGAACGTTTTCAACGTGGGAAGTTTCAAGAAGCAAACTGCTCAAGGAAAAGCGCCGGCGAAGGCTCTCCCAAGAGGCCGGAGAGATGCAGTCGAAGAGGTCAAGGACCTGAACCTCAAGCTTAGCTGATATGACCTGGCAGAGGCGACGACTGAGATCCCCCAGAATGCCGACTGAAGCAACGGTTGCGACGGAGACATGGCCCTTGAGCGAGGTTCGGTTGGGATTGAGATAATCACGAAATCCTCACTTAAACAAAACCCCCAGCAAGCGCACATCAACAAGCGCAGAACACTTGCGAGCATAGGTCGGATGAGATGAAACCTAGATGAATGTGTCAAGGTCGAAATCCAACAAGTTGTCCTGTGGGGTCTTATAAAACAGTTGAGATACTGCACCATCGTGGATGCAAGAACATTCCGAACTCATAAAGAATTGCTGCCGAACTGCTGCTCACCGACATATTGATTTCGGGAGCTAGTGCTCTCATGAACAGGGAATGAAGATGGACTATGGGATTTCTCTAAAGTTCACTCGTTGTTTCTTTCCTTTGTTCGTTCTGTGTTCATGATTTATGCAGTTATCAAGTCTTATGAATATAGAGGAATATAGAGAGAAGTTTTTGATATCTTGAAGATTTCAGGGGACTCCAGGCTCACAACGTCCTGGGCCACTCAGGACGTGCTGTCCTGGTGTTCGCCTATAGGGTCATGCTCAAGCATCCCACCCTTGAGGTGGAAAGCATCGGGTCGTGACACGCGTTGGCCGTGTCAAACTCATGTTTGTGGAGCGAACTTCACGCAGGGGGCGGTTCTTTCACCATGTGTGGTTCGTAAGGCTCCCGCAGAAAAGAATTTGAAATAGTGCCAAGGACTCGTACGGAGAAATCAGGTGAAAGGGTGCACATACATGGAGCACCTCTGTCCGTTCTCGTCACGTCACGAGGCTCCCTTTTCGCCAGCAATCTGGTACGTGCTCTCGGCGGGAGCAGAGGTAGAAGACGACGAGGTCGGGCCATGGTGAGGGACTCGCTGGACGGCCAAGGGTTGTAGCGAAGGTGGGCCGGTGCCGGGATCCACTGGTCGGTGCAGTAGGCGCACGGGGTGCGGAGCTGGATCCGATTGTCCGTGCGGCTCTGACCACAATTCTCACTCACGTGCCAAACTCTCCCATGGGGAGTGAAGTAAAGGTCCCCGACGTGGTGGTAGCTCAAACGATTCGTCGTGGGGTGGTCGATGAGGTGCTGTTGCCTCTGGACAGCGGCCGCCAGACGGCGGTTGTAGTCTCGGACCGCAGCCAAGTCGAGGTGAAGGGATTCGAGAGTCTTGTTTGCATGTCCGGAACCGGAAAGGGCTGCACCAGGTAGGTGATGTCGGTCTGGATCTCCTCGGTGAACGTGCCCTCATCCTCCGTCTGGGTGGCGGTCTGCGCCCCACAGGGGCGGTGTTCAGGAGTGCTAGACGGTGCACCCAGGTCATGGAGGGCCACGGTCGAAGGCACACAAGGAACACGGTGATCAGGAGGATTGAGAAGACATGGGGCTCGGCGTCGACATAGGCTCCGGGGATCATCTGGTACTACACGAGGGCATGGAGATCCTCAAAAGCGTCGGCACCGGTCAGGAAAGTGGCGGCAGCGGCGAAAACAGCGGCAGCGGCTTTAGGCCGCGCGAACTGATTCGCGCTCTGCGCGCGATCGGCTGCCTTCTTCTTGCGGCTGGCTTGATAGGACTCATCCGCGGTGATCTTGTGGGTGTGCGTGCGGAGGCGGTCAGCTCGGAGCTGTGTAGCGGAATCTTTCGTCAGACCATCCGTGAACTGGCGTTCCGACGACACCCACCTGGTATCGCCACCAATTTCTTTCAGCTTGTCCCTCGTCACGAATGCTTCCAAGCATGTTCTCTTGTCAGCCCGCATTCGACAGGTACAGTTCTTCTCGATGAAGAATGTCATATAGACATTTTGCATCTACGACAAGGATGCACGGGTTGGGCTAGGCAAAGCATCCCTCAGATCCGTCGATGCGATAGCTCGCATCAAGAATGGCTCTCCAAAACGTCAACACAAAATGCAAAGTGTCCGCTGCGTCTGCAGCCGCAGAAAGCTAGGATCTGGCAACCCGTGGGAGTCGGGCACACAGCTCCCGCGAGGATCGCCTTGTGAGTGGCACAAACGGGGTAGCCGCCCTGACTGGACAAATCAGCCCTGCTTGCGAATGCCGCATCTGAATATACCACAAAGATCAGGTCGCGGAGATCACAGCCAAGCGGCGTGTTTAGCAGCTTAGCGCTTTGTTCGCAGCCAACAGTGTTGCAACAAGCGCTTTCGACAGTTCACCGGCCAACATGGAAGCGTGCACTTGCAAGTGTGGCGACGTCTGTGTTGCTGCCAGGTGAAGGCTCCGATGAGGGCCCGAAGCTGCGTGCGCTCCTTCTCCGTGGCTGGCTGCCGGTTCTTCCCAGGGAGATGGGCTTGATCTCATTCAGGTAGGAGTCGTGGCTGCAGGAGTATCCGCCATCTTGGGTCTCAGATAACTGGACACCGAGAAACTCGAAGCTGTCCTGGTTCTCCCAGAAATCTCGGAAAGAGAAGAGCTGCTGGAGGTCTTCTTTGATCTTCTGTCTGACTGCTGGGTCGGAAATACCCATCAGACCATCAACATGACAGCACACTTCAGGTCCGGGCTGAACAGGAGGACCCCGGTGAGCGGGAGCTCAAGTACTACGATCTCACCGGGCTGGCACACTAGAGAACATGAGAAGCGGTCCGAGCATCTTCATCCAGGGGGTGCTGAACGAAACTCAAGGTGGGGAAGCGCTCGGTCGCCTCGACAAGCCAGGTTCTTAAGAACCCGGGGATCGGTGATACCGAGAGGCTGTGACTCGTGTCGGCAAAAAGTCGGACCCATAGAGTCCAGGCGGCCGCGTGTTCCTTTTCTTGGAGAAAGGCGGTGGTGATATCCGCAATGAACGTGTCCCATCCGAGGGTGACTCCCAAGGACATCAGGATCGTAAGGCCCAATCTGGTAAGGGTGGTACTCGTCGAATCCACCAATCCAGTAGTAAGTGCATCGGGGTCACGAGTCGTGCCTTGTTGCGAGGGCTCCCGTCTGGGTGCTTGGACCATTTAAAGATGAAGTGGGCCTTCAGAATTTTATTCTCGTGTGAGAACTCCCAGAAGTTGTCGGTGAATAACGACCCCAGCTCCTTTCTCGTCGCCTCGATGAAAACGATGCGATCGGAGAGGCTCAAGATGCGCTCGGTGAGGTTCTTGGCGTACTTCTGGCGCTTCTCCTTGGTGCCAGTGTAAGTGATGGCTCCTGAGGAAGTGGTGCAGAAGGCATGTCCAACGGTCCTGGTGGTAGTGGCACCCTTGCTTGGCTATCCGGTCCTTGGCCAGCATATGATGCGGCACGGGGCAATCGCCGGTCTCCAAAGGGGTTGAATAGAGCATCTCGGGCCACGTAGTGGTGGCGGATGAATTGGTTTCCGTTTCTGTGTCATGAGGAAGTTCAGAGGGTTTCTTCTTGGCTGTAGCTCCATCGCCAAAGTTGTGTTTAGCCTCCATGTCTGCACTCGTGGGGTGGTCGAGATCATCCAAGGAGTCTCCCAGTGTGGTCTCCTCGGGAGGCTTGGGTCGGAGGATTCATACTCCTCCATATCCACATCTGATGCCGGTAAGGCCTCCTCCGTGATGGAGCTGCTATAGACGAAATGGGCATAGTATTCTCCGTGCAGGGACTCGGCAAGGTATACACATATTGTCGGCTGGTATATGGTGGCTTCCTGGGCGCGGGATCCGGTTATTGAGCAGCTGCAGATCACCGCCTGGTGCTGGCGTGTTCCATCGCACCGGTATCCACCAAGGTTCTCTAAAAGGAGGGCATGGTTCACAACCTGCTTCGTGAGTCTTCATGATGGATGCCATGTTTGTTCGGTATAGCTGGTCCCATAACACCACTGACCAATGATGACCTCTAGCCCCAAATCATGAAGGGCTGGTGTCTTCTAGGCTCTCGAACCGCGGGGGTGCTCGATGACGGCAAAAATGCCCATGGATGCTGCTATGTTCAGGAAAACGCATCGCACAAGTATGAAGTGGGTGTGGTAATGGCAGTCACGCGTCGCATGGAGTATACATGGGCCCCGGCCGGGTCGTGCGGTTCCTGAAGTGGCGACTACTTGGTGCGCATGGAGTGGCCAGACACGACATATGGCATTTCCTTATCCGCGAGCTCAAAGAAGCTACGACGGTGGCCAGGATCGTCGAAGTTCCACTCCGGCAGACCGAGTCACAAAACCCTGGTCTTTCATAGCCACGGAGAGGTTACCGGAACCGCTGTACACCTCCCAGAAGGTAGCCTGACCGGCATCAGTTACTACCCGGTAGACATTCCTTGAGACCTTATGGGCCAGTGTCGGCCAGTTCTACCAGCAACGGCTCAGTGGGCGGGCACGTAGCACGCCGACTTCGTCTTTTCGACCTAGCAGTGATACAGCCGGCGAGTATAGCGATGGCTAAGTTTTCATTTCGTCAGCCTCTGTTTGACTGGGGTTAAGCTCGGCATGCGTGCTTGCATAAATGCTGTCACTATGTATACACGCATGTCTTGACTGGGCACGGTTCTTTTGTCATAATCGTGTGGGGTGTTGCTTTGCTGTTTGCTTCCCTTCGCCCCTGGAGGACTAGGCGCAAAGCTGCATTGTTTATTGCGCTGTGGACCTGTCAGTAATTGCCACGCGCTTGTTTGCCTGATATCCTTATATCACCTCTTTTAAGGTGGTGTTTTGACATCTAGGGCTAGGGTACATGCCGTGTGCTGGGATAGCGTCACTATACCCGTGAGGAATACCTTGCACTGTCCAAGGTCACCTGTGACGTGGCCTAATGTGGTCGTTGTTTGCCTCCTGTTGGGTTTTGTGTCTGAAGTGTTGTTTGTGATGCGATTTTCGCTGGGTTACACGCAACAGTATTTGAACTTGGGTGTCGAGTCAGATTTTTGCTCAGCCGAGTATGAAGAGTACTTTGCGGCTAGAGCATACTGACCGTACTCTGGATGTCCCCTCTAGTTGTCAAATAGATGCAAGCCAATGGGTCGCGTTCTATTTGAATTCTACGCCCCAAGAGCGAGAAAAGGAGATATAACTAAACTTATTATGCTATAGTAGATTGTGCTAC